CTCCAAAGTACCTAGACTAATACAGTTGCTAATTAGATGCTGCATTTTAATTCCCTCCTAGCTTGAGTGTGCCTCTTAATTGGCTCAGATGGGTCCTAGAACCCCAGCACCAACCAATTCAAATTCACTCACCACTGTCCTCTGCCATCTGCCACACCTGCAAGGAAACACCAGGAATGCTACTGGTCACCAGCAACCTATTCAGGATGGATAAAGCTTAGTCTACACAGTGGAGACCTCACCAACCCACCCCCACCCTCACCCCCCAAGTCTTCCCCTCTCCAGTTCACTCAGCTTGAGATTCCCACAGTTCTCAACATGAGGAAAGCGTACTGCCAGACGGATCATCACCCTCACTGAACAGATGGGGAGGCGAGGGCTGTTCACTCTGCTTCGGGGACAGAGCCACAGCTCAGAGTCCAGAGTAGAACTGGAACTGAGCTCTCTCACTCACTCACTCACTCTCTCACACTCCCTCACTCACATAATAAAAAGAAGAAAAAAAAAAGAACTGGAACTGAGCCCAGGTCGCCGTGTGTCAAAATGCTCATCTAGAGAGGGCACTCAGAAGTCACAACCCTGACCCAGAGATTCTTACTTGCTCCCAACTAAGCTGTTGCCAACTACTGAACAACAGCTTGGCGAGAAAACTGGCACTTCCTTCTATGACAGCAATTCTTCATCCCCAAAATGTGTGTGTGTGTCTGCTCACATGTGCTCTGATGATAAACAGGCAGAAGAGCCCTGAACCTTTCCAGCCACCCCTTCTTGAATGGAAGGTCTGAGATTCGGAGCTGGATCATACCTGGTCTCTGGCACGTGTTTGAGATCAAAGATTGGTTTGTCTGAAAATCCTCCATGGCGCACTGTAAAATCTCTTTCTGGGAACAAGCCCTAAAAGACAAAGGTTTGACCCATCAGATCAAGGGTGTCAAACTGGCAGCCCATGGGCCGCATGCAGCCCCCGAGGTAATTTTTTGTGGCCCATGATGCTCTGAAATAAAATGAAAATAGAAAAAAATTGTTATGAAGAAAATAGCGCTTAGGGGAGATCAAGGCAGTATCATACACACAATTCCCTCGTTAACCCTTTAATTACTGAAGCCAAGTATACACGTGGTCCAGTGCCTTTCCTGGGGGCCTGTGGACTTGTCTAAATGCGCTCAGTCTGGCAACATTTGGAAGCGATATGTCTGCCACTCTCAGTGTCATGTAATGTAAACAGATCCCAATAGTGAAAAGGTTAAAAAGAGCACTCTGGGTTGTGCTGTTATGAATCATACCTAGTGGCAGCGCTAGTTAACATTTTTAAAGGGAAGCCATTATGATTGTGCATCACGTTTGTCAGCTGTCCAACAGTTTGTGTGTTTCATTAGTTACTCTGTTATATTTTCTGGTCACAACATAAGAGGTAAGTGAAAACTAGTAGGAGGAAAGTGCTGGCAAGATTCGGTGAAAAAGACTAATTTTAGTTTTATAAATAAATGTGATGTGGCCCATGGGAATCTTGTCTATTGCACCAAATGGCCTGCATTTTAATTGAGTTTGACACCCCTGCATTAGATAAAGCCTGCTCTTGAAAGGACCCTTTCAGACAGGATAAGGAGCCAAACCTTGGCAGGAGGCCAAGGAAATTGCTCAGCTGGCAACAGATGCTTCTCCCTGCGGGGCATGGGGTTCGGTTATCTGTAAATGATGGTCTCCTTGGCGCCTACATATGCCAAACCCTTCTAACATTTCATTCGCCCCTTTCAATACTGCATTCAAAAACTGAAGGGGCTTCCAAGAGGTTGAATGCATGAAAACCCTGGTACCTGTATAAGAGGACCACATTATACTCTATGCTTTCCTAAAGGAGTCTCAGAAGCTTAACAGTTTCATCAAAGAGAGCTGGGATGGATTAGCCAACAACTATACTCTGGGGACAGGATCGGGTTCCCGTTATCACTCCTGTATCTTCACCCAAATCTGTGTCGGGAACTACTATATCCTCACACTCATAACCCTGCTCAAGCCTCTCTATCTTTAGGACACCTTCCCTCCAATTTGTGTTTCCTACCTAGTTACTCGTCTACTTCCTCCTCTCTTCAGTCCTTTGCACTGACCACATTAGCCACGATGCATGTGCAAAGGTGAGCAGGGGCTCCCAAGGCTAACGACTGAACTGTTCAACCCTCCTCTGATCCTACAGCAACATTAGCGAGCGCTCGTTTGTTCTTGACGCGCTCTCTCCTCTGAGCTTCTGAAACCCTAACCTGAGACTCTTCCTACTTCAAAGATTGGTCCTTTTCAGTCTCCCTCATGGAGTCATCTTCCTCTACCTATCTTTTAAATGCAGTCCCTGAGGTTCTCGCTTTAGCCTTCTTTTCTTTGAAACCCTTATACGCTTCCTTTCACCATCACCATTACCATTCTAAGGGCATCAACCACCCTCTATATACTAACGGGTCCCTAAGTCAATGGTTAAAAAGTAAAGTTAACCTCTACCTCCAGGAACCCTCTGGAAACCATGTGTATCTGCTGCCATCAGACGATAAAGGTATTTGTCCCTCTCTCTTTCTAGTATCCAGGGCAATGCCTGGTAATTAACATGAGCACCATATTTAATAAATGAGTAAAAACTAATACAGGTATACTTATCACTGATGTTCAACTTACCTGGTTCTCCTTTACAGAAAGTCTGAGAGGTAATAACAAATGAAGAATCTCATTTTTTTGCTGGCTTTCGTAGCCAGCAACAAAGATTCCTGGAGATAAAAACAAAAGCAGCTGTGACAAATTATTTAACAGATTCTAGACCGCGTTTGGATGTAGAAACTTCCGCCAAATAATCTAAAGCAAGGATAAATTCTTCCCGATCAGAATGCAACCTTGGGTTAGGGAATGGAAGGGATTCTCACAAGGGGAACCTACAGGCTGATGGGGCACTAAATTGTTACAAGTGACCAAGAGGCTCAGGGTCCCAGGAGAGCAGGTGAAGCCCTCAACTCCCACCCGGAGAAATGAGATTCTCTCTTTCAGAACCTGGAAGGGTACATCACCTTTTTTACCAATCCATTCAAGAACTCTGGTGGCTCCTGAGAGGTCGAATGCATGGAAATCCTGGTACCTACATGAGATGGGGAGAGTCACGTGGCCCATCCTTCACGGCCAGAGCACTGCGATGGCAGCATGGTGCAGTGGTTAGGAACATAAACGCTTGAACGAGGCCAACCTGTAACCTCTGAATCTGGTTTTGCTTTATCTCCTGTGTGACCAACACCAGGCCAGTCACTCAATCTCTTTAAGATTCGGTCCTCATCGGTAAAATGGCATTCTTTTAAAATGGTACCCTGACTTCGCAAGGCTGCAGTGAAAAATCAATGAAATCATCTGTGTTCAGGGCTCAGAGCCGGTGCAAAATAATTGGCCTCTTACGTTCTTTTTGTCACTCACACACACTGCTCTAACTTGTTCACACACCTCGAGCGCAAGCGAAGGTAAGGCCCGGGCGGAATTCTCCTCTAAGGGCTTAGATGCGCCGTTCACGCCAGGTGTCCCCTACGCGCCTCTGCCCTGCACCCATGCCGCCGCGACAACCCGGAGCCCCGACCCGCCTCCCCGCCCCACAGGATTTACAAGCGCAAGGACTCCACGAGCCAGTCTTCGTTCGCCTCCATAGCAACTGTCGCTTCCGGCGCCTCACTTCCGCTCGGAGCCTTCCTGAGAGCTCGGAGCTCTCGCGAGGAGTGGGCGTGGCCTTCATTAAGGGGGCGGGGCGTTGAGGGCCTTACAGCGCCGCCGCGGAGGCTGCGCCGGTACAAACACCCCGGGAAAAGTGATGGGGAGCCACCCCGGGAAAAGTGATGGGGAGCCAGGGATTCCCAGGTTGTCTGCTCCAAGCTATGAATGAACTCCGCGCCCGTTTTAAGACTAGGAATCTTCAGTCCACCGAGAGGGAGTCCCAATGTTGCTAGATAAAAGTTAAATCCTGACTTCAATTAACGAACCCTTTTTTTATTGGATAAATCATTTTATTGGAGGCTCTTACAGCTCTTATTATAACAACTCACACATCACTTGTAACAAACATATTTGTATATATGTTGTCATCATCATTTTCAAAACTTTCTGCTTGATTCTTTGGAATCAGTTCCTCTTTTTTTCCTTCCCTCCCACCCTCATGGACCCGTAATAAATTATAAGGTATTATTTTCATATCTTCTGCGTTCACTGTCTTCCTTCGCCCACATTTCTGTTCGTCCCGGGGTGGGGTGCGTCAATCATTAAAGTCGGTTCCCCGTTTAACGAGTAATTTTTTGGTACTACATTCAGTTAAAAAACAAACAGAAAGAAATCCAGGTTAAGCGTTGAGGGCTAACTGCAAAGTCCGCAATTGAACCCCCCACCCCCAGTCCCCAGCTGCTGAGAGAAAGATGCGGTGTGATCCCGTCGAGATGTGGTCTCCGGAATCCGGAGGAGCAGCTCTCCTCAGTCCTACAGGGTCCCTGAGAGTCAGAATCAACCCCTGCGATGTGTACACAAAGTCTGAAAGGGAGTTCCAAAGAGCTGCTGGGGCTCCAAGTGGCTTCTCTCCCGAGAATGCGCTGGGAGCTCCCGCAGCAGGCGGGAAGCTGGTGCGGCGCACGCAGCGGGCACGTGCCTGGGGGGCGGCCGCCGACGGGGCCGGCGGACAGGTGCCTGGGCCAGCAGGTGGCGCATCCTACAGCGAGCCCGGCTCGGGTCGCCGGGGCGCGGCCTGCAACAGGCGGGACCACGGAGCGAGTGAGTCCCTGCTAGCCTGGTGCCTGCCCAAGAGTCGTTTGGGGCTTTCGGGAGGCGAACACGCAGCTCACCGGTCCCCTTTCCCTCTCATTCCCTCAAACTTGGCTGGAAAGAGAGGCCCAGACAGTCTACACAAAGAGCAGGGATTTATTCACAACTTTATCAGGGAAGCCAGACATACAGCAGGAACGTGATCACGTGTGTCTGGGCGGGTGACTCCAACCAGAAATCACAGTAATGGCGTTATAGAGATCTGATCCACGATCTGCATCCAGGTGGGGCCAGGACCAGGTGCCATTAAGCACCTTCCCTGGGTGAGCACAGTCTAAGCGGTGGTGGCGCGTCTGCCCCATTATTTGCATCACTTCTGCCAAATGTGCACCAGCAGCCTCCTGTACTGAAGGGGAACACACAGAGGGATTAACCTGGGGAGGGGGACAGCCTGTCCTTCCTAAGTGCTAGGCATCTGCAGAGGTGGGCAGGGGAGGGGTTGACCCTCAGCTGAAGCAAGTCCCCGACCACCTCTCTCCCCCCAAGTCCTGGGAGGGTGTCAGGGGCCATGGAACTCTCAGAACAGCCCCAACCTCACAGGATGGTCCTAGCTATCCAAGGAGACAACAGAAATTCAGTAGTGCCTGGCACTCCCCCCTAACTCTGCTCCTGAAGCCTCACACCCCAGGCTTAGGCTTGGCTTTCTTCCAGAATCTCAAGTAGTGCTTCAGATCTTCAAGCCCAAAGCCCTTTGAGGTGCCATCATCTCCCTCTGGGCTCATCCAACCCACGCTCCTAATCCTTACATATATGCCAGGAAGGTCACGGATGGTGCATGGGATTGAACTTGGTCTTCTTTAGGGCACCCTCGTCCCCATCCTTCCAAAATAGATGCTAGGTATACTGAGGCAGACAAAGGTGAGCTGGCAACAGGTGCTGTCAGGGCGCACACAGACTAGTAGAAGTAAATTTAGCCCCCTTTTACTGATGATTTAGATATACCATGCACCATGCTGGGCAAGTGCTATAAACATTCTCATCTAAGGGGAACTGAGTACTACTCTCAGAAACACGGGCAGTTCTACTCTGTCCTATTGGGTTACTATGAGTTGGCATTGACTTGATGAGGTTAAATGATATTTTCAAGGTTACACAACTAGTCATTTACAACTAGTGGGTGGCAGAAATGACCAATGAGCCAAAGCCCACCTTCACTATCACTGTCTTCCGCACACAGCAAGTACCGGGAAGGAAGGTGGCTGATGAAGATGACATCAGGAACAGGGCAGAGAGGGGCTGCTATTCTGCCAGGGTAAAGACTAAGGCTGGGTTGATTCCAGCCTGGGGAACCTCATAACCAAAGGTGAATTTACCCCTCCACCCTCATGGGGACATTTGGTGATGTCCGAAGACATTTTTGATGGTCTCAAATGAGGAGATGCTACTGCATTTAATGGATAGAGACTAGAGGTGCCACTAAAGATCGTATCATGCACAGGTTAGCTGTCCACAACAAAGAATTATCCAGCCCAGAATGTTAGGAGTGCTGTCATACACTGAACGGGTAGAGCAAGGCCAAGGGGAGCAGTCTGGGCTCTGTCCTGGTCACCAATGACTAATTGGATTTTCTCTTCCCCCTAAGAGTCCTAACTCAGACCACAAGCACAAAGAAGGCCCAGCAATGGGGGACTTGGTTAATGTAGGAGGAGAGGGGAGAGTTACATAGGTGGAGGGCTAGATTTTGTGGGCTTGGGGGAAGTTCTGCTGCTGGAGGCTGGATAATCTGAGGCCGTGGCTTGAGACTGAGGACTGGGTGGAGTTGTTCCATGGGGCTTAATGGGAAAGTCAGCTTCCTTTCTTTGGAATCATCCCCCTTTCAGCCCTGGGTCACTGGGAAAGCCTCTGACCTTGGCTTTCTTGGGTTCACACTCATGATGCCCAGGATAACCGCCCCTCCCTTAACTCAGAGCCCAGTGATGACTCACCCTATGCTTGGATCTAAGGGGGCCTTGGCTGAGGCTCTCCTGGCCCTGGGGTTGGCATGTGGTGGGAGCCGGGCTCACCTGGGTGCTGGGCTGTCAAGGCTCAAGCCCAGGGCTTTCTTCAACTGGAGGATCCTGAGCAGATCATGACTCAGCAGCAGCCGGTGATTCCTCAGGGAGCCGTGGAGAGTGGCCCCCAGTGGGATTGGGCTGGGAGAATCCAGGCTCTTTTTGCCCATGAAGTGACCTGGAAAGGTGGTGCCGAGGCAAAAGGAAGTCGGAGAGCAGGACCTCACCCCATTGGGAAAGTTCCCTGTCTCCATGTTTCATTTCTCATGGTAGGAAGATGCTCAGGCTTCCCCCTCTTCGCCCCAAGGAGCCGTAAATACCTCTCAGGGGTGGAGAGCCCGCACACCCCAGCTTTTCCTGCAAAGGTAGAGAGGTGACGGGGATGGCACAACTGGAGAGAGGGTGGGGTGGCCCAGGCCTGGGAGAAACCCGGCCTGCTAGAAAGAATGTGACAGGACACGGAAGGTAACGGAGAATGTAGAAGGGCTTGGAAGGTGGAGGTGCCGGGAGAAGACACAGCAGAGGTTTGAAGACAGGCATGCTTAAGGAAAAGGACACCCAGCTGGCGGTCAGAGCCAGGGTCTACAGCTAGCTCTGCCTTGAACTGAGCCAAGGCGCTGACCAGGCTGGGTCTCCCTTGCCCATCTTTTGAATTAGACAAGCCCCATAGACCCCGCCTGCATGGAAGTCTATGATGTCTATGGTTCAAGGGTGACGAGAGAAATGGTAAGGAAATGGGGTCGGAGCAGGGTGAGGCTGGACCCTTGCTCAGGTCCCCAGGGACTTACCAGTGGCCCAGAGGTTGCCCCGCGGGTGCACTCGGATCTTGCTCGCTCTGCCGCGGGCCTCCGGGAGGTCCCAGCTCAGCGGGGCGGCGCCGGCGGCTAGCACAGCAAAGAGCAGGAGGCCACCCAGCAGCCGAGCGCCCCCCGCCCGCCGGGTCATAGCTGTCCCCTGGCCGCTCCGGCGTGCCCCCCAGCTGCTAGAGTGAGTGGCTCAGCCGCTCCTGAGTGGCTCAGCTCCCGCCTTCGCTCCTTTTAAACCCGCGCTCTGGGGGCGGAGCCTGACCGCGTGAGGGCGGAGCCTAGCCCACTGGAACCCGAAGCGCCGCCCCATGCCCGTCTACCCGGTCTGGACCCGGACCTCCACAGCCCCCAAGTTCCCCCAGCCAGGTTTTCTTTCAGGGATGGCCATCCTGGAGGGTCCATCAGCAAGGGCTACGGCCCTTCCAGAGACAGCGCGTCCGCACGCCTTTCCCACACGTGGCCGGAGCCCATCAACTCTAAGAACTTGGCCCTCGGGGACAGAACGGTCCTGACCTTCCCCCGTCACTCCCACCAAGCTTCAGCCAAGTGCCAGGCATCAGGGGTCCCAAGAAATTGCCCTCAACAATCAGGGATCTGGCCCGGGCTCACTCAGTGCTCGGCCCTCTCCCTGGCAGCACTCCCCAGGTAATCTGGAAAAGGCCCGAGGGACTCCTGGGGCAGTCAGTGCCCGAGGCGGGGCTACGGAATGGTGGCGCACAGCCTCCGGAGCTGCTCCCAGGAGTGGCATACCAGGCTCTTGGTAGGGGAAGCCTGGCTCGGCAGTTGAGCAGGAGGCAAGATCTCTTCTGGATCAGGAGAGTGGAATCTATATACAAACGTGTGACCTTGTTAAGTTTCCATTGTAAAATGGAATAACCACATTGTTCTATTTTAAAAGTTATGCATTTTGAAGCACGGTTATTTTTGTGTCAGGAAGCAGCAGTCCCACAGAACCCTCTCCCTCACATTCAACAATCTGTCCTCCCCAGGAGCTATTCAAACTGGTCTTGGAAAACCGAAGATGTCCCTGCTTAAGGACCAGAGGAAGATGCTGTACTCCAGAATAGCCCGCCCCCTTTCCCCCCCACCCCTTTTTTTTTTCACCCTGCCGTGGGTAGCCTGTCATCTTCTCACAGCCCCCCCCCCCTAAATGTTCACTGGGACCTGAGAATCGATCTATTCTGAAAAAATTTGGCTAGTGAAAACCTTCCGGGTAGCAGAACAGACTCTGATATAAGTAGTATTGAAAAATGCGGCCCTCACAACCTGACTGAAGAAGATTCGTCTTCTCAGAGGAGAGTCAAACTTAACAACAGGGGTGGAGTCAGGCTTTGGGGATTTTTATTTGCTGATGTGGCCTGCCCCCAAATGAAAAGAACGCTACAAATATCCACTAACCAGAACATGAAAGAAAGGCAAATTGAAAGTTGGCAAAAGGAAAATACTTGCAAAGACCAATATCCTAAGCATTAATGAACTAAAATGGACTGGTATTGGTTATTTATGGTCTACTGTACTGGAAATTAAAAATCGGAGAGGAACATCATTGCATTCAATGTCAGAAAGAACACTGCCAACATACAACACTGTCAGTGATAGAGTATATACATATGCCTAACAGGAAGACTAGTTATTACAACTAGTATTCAAATTTACACATCAACCACTAATGCCAAGGATGAAGAAATTACAAAGATTCTTACAACTTATGCAGTGTGAAATTGTTCAAGCTTGCCATCCAGCTGCATTGATCATTACTGGTGATTGGAAAGGGACCGTTAGAAACAGAGGAGGAGGATCTGTAGTGGAAAATATGGCCTCGGTGTGAGAAATGACGTAGATGATATGACAGAATCTGTAAGCCCAACCGCCTACTCCATGGAAACACCTTTTTAAACAACCAAACCAACTCTACATGTGGACCTCACAGGATGGAATACACAGGAGCTATATCAAATATGTCTGCAGAAAGAGATGATGGAAAAACTCAGTATCACACGCAACTCATTCTAAAAGTGATTTAACCAAGGTGGGGGGCGGAAAATGTTCTAAAATTAATTGTCGTAATGATTATATAACTCTTCGTGATGTGATTGAACTATTGAATTGTGTGATATGTGGATTAAGTGCCAATAAAACTGTTTTTTTTAAAAATCCTCAGTATCATCAGTCAGACTAAGACCAGGGCCAATGGTGGAACAGACCACCAACTGGTCATGCGCCAAGTTCAAGTTGAAGCTGCAGAACATGAAGACAAGTCCAGGAGAGGCAAATTATGACTTTGAGTTTAGAGACCATCTCAATAATAGAGCTGCTTCAATAAAACAACAACTTTGTAATGTGAATTGGATGAAGGTTTACAGAGCAGATCATCAATTTTACAATCAACAACTCATATGCATTGTTTCATTCATTGCAATCCCTTCTAAGTACCATTACATATCCCAATTCATATTCCCAGTTTCCATGCCTCCTTCCCTAACCCTTCTGAACTGTGTCCTTGGTTAAATGCTAACCCTTTTTCATCTCAAATGGTTGACTATGCTAAGGTGTGTGTTATTCTTCTTACAGGACTGTCTGTGGTGTGGCTGAAAAATGAACCATGGGGATAAACTCTATTCTAGACCTGAAGGCTGACTAAGTCCATAGTCTTAAGGGTTCCACCAGTCTCTATCCAACCAGTAAGCCAGTGTCTTATGATCTGAGGTTTGGGTCTATAGTTTTCTCTCACACTATCTGGGACCTTCTAATGTGAACCCTTTCAGAGCAGTTGGTAAGCTGCCACCATCTAGTTCTTCTGGTCTCAGCGTGGTGGAGATTGATGTTTGCATGGTCCATTAATCCACTAGACTAATTGTTTCCGTGTGTCTTTCAATTTTCATCACCCTCCTTTCCTCCGGATGGGGAGAGGCCAATCATTGCATTTTAGATGGCCTCGCATAAGCTTTTAAGACCACAGTTGTTATTTATCAGAGTAGGATGTAGAACATTATCCTAGTGGACTACGTTATGCCATTGACTTTGGTGTCCCCCAAGACTATGGTCCTTAGTCCCCGGGCTCGCAGACTCCCTCCCTCAAGGTTTTGGGTTATATCTAAGAAGTTTCCTAACTTTGCTCTGTGTATGCTCCACAACAATCAATCATGGATAGATTTTCAGCAAAGGTAAGTACACAAACACAGATATCCTGTCAAACCTGTACATATTCATGGGTATACTCCCATTCTCCCACACTTGTTCAGCCTGCATGTCTATCCAAGCATTTACTCATAGATCACAATTACTTGATTGCACAAATAATGGTATTTACTTCTGTCGTCTCTCTTACAAACCTCCCATGTCTTCCCCTGCCTCCATTTCCCCCCTGCCAACCTGCCTTTTACTACATATTGCCTCTGCTCAAGTTAACTCTGGTCTACGCTCCAACCAGTGATTTCCCCTCCCTTCCCTTTCTGTCCCTGGTAACTGTCAACGAGTGTTTCTTTTAGCATGAAAACCCTTTCTTGACTTTTAAGTGGCTTCATACATTATTTGTCCTTTTGGAATTGACTAATTTTACTCAGAATAATGCCCTCCCGGTTCATCCACTTTATATGGTGTTCCAGAGGTTCATCATTATTCGTTAATGTTGAATACCATTCCATTGTGAATGCACTGAAGTTAGCTTATCCATTCTTCCATTGATACACATTTAGGTGGTTTCCATCTGTATGCTATTGTGAATGGCACTGCGATGAACATGGGTATGTGTATTTCTATTCCTGCCATGGCTCGTATTTCCCTAGAATTGGAATATATGCCAAGTAGAGGGCTTGCTGGGGCACATGGTATGCCTATTCCCAAGTGTTTGAGGAGTGCCATACAGCTTTCCACTCCAGTCCCACTCAGTAGTGTATGTGGGCCCCAGCTTTTGCATACTCGCCAGCCTTTGTTTTCTGTTGTTTGTTTTTTAAACTTTATTAATTCTGGGGCTAGGTGATATCTCGTTGTTGTTTTGATTTGCATCTCTCTAGTGAGCATTTCTATTAGCCACTTGAATGACTTCTTTAGTGTCTGTTAGTGTCCTCTACCCATATTAAACTGAATTATTTGCTACTTTGTTGTTGAGGTGTTGAAGCGGTCTACAACTAGATTTGAGACATTCAACAGGAATGAATGAAATAGATAAGTTGAGGAATGACATCAAGGACATCGTATATGAAGAACCAAAAAAGGCATTTAAAAAGCAAGCATGAGACAAATGACCAAAATGGGTATCAGAAGAGACTCTGAAACTCACCCCTGAATGCGGAGAAACTGAGAAAACTAAATTGATATTCATGAAGAGGTAGAGATGTTAAAACACTATTAGGCACCAGACCCGTCTTTGGACTCCATGGACGGGCCAGGTAGATTGGGGGGTAAAGAGGGAGACTCACAGTGAAAGCATTGAGGGGGGAGGCCCATGGGACTTAGAGGTCTTCTGGGGACCCTGGATTCCAACAGCATACTCAACAGTTAGATGAGTTTCCTTCCCTTGTAACAGACTGGACTAATTGGTTGGTGGTGCAGCTTGTAGGAGCTGGGGCCATCAAAGTTAATATTGGGATAAAAAGTAACAGCCTCATTGTCACTCTTGAGTACAAAGGAAATAATTAAAACCTCCAGGAAAACACAAAGTTCACATTTGATAACTAAACTAAAAAACAACATTTATATTAGTCCTAAAAAATTCCATTTTCCCACGAACTTTTTAAAGCCCTCTTGTACTGTGCTGGGCAAATCGGCTGCATAAGTCCTCTATGAAGCATTAAAAAACAAAATGTTACCTTGAGAATTAAGGTCTACTTGACCTGTGCCATGGTATTCTCTATCCCTCAGATGCACGGGAAAACTGAAGAAATTATGTCTCTGAAGTCTGGTGTTGGGGATGAACACTGAATATACTGTGGACCCCAGAAAAAGGAAAAAGAATGTAAAAATCTGGCTTGTAAGAAGTACAACTGGAAAGTTCCATCGGAGGGACTTCCTCTGTGTTACCAGGAGAACCTGTTCCCTGGAGAAGGGCATCATGCTTGGTCAAGTTAGAGGGACAGCGACAAAGAGGACGACAGAAGACCCCCAACCAGATGGGCTGACCCAACGGCTGCAACCAGAGCC